GGCCAGACGTTAGATAATCCAAACCGGTGTTACTATCCTTACGTGCTAGGATTGTACCAATTAGCCGACCCAGGCGGGATGGAATGCTTGGCTTGGCCTTTGCGGGGTGTTATCCAGGATTCGATCCCCGGATCGCGCAAGGCATGCTGCGTCACTTGCCACCACACCACTTCCGCTAAAAACTTGCTTTATCCATGCGAAGTATCTAGCCCTGAATTTGTCAATTAAACAATGAAAAAATTCTGTTCGCAACGGCAGGATTTTTGAAGATAAATAAATTAATGAATATTTAAATGAATGAGCAAATAAAGAAATAATTAGTGTTGTGGTTGCCCGATTCTTGCTGCACCAACGAGTCAAAAGCACTTGAAGCCCAAAACGAGAAATATGCGCCATTCTGTGCTATCGTGACCTTCTGTAATTTCTGTGGCATGAATCTTTTTCTTAGTAAATCAGTGCTCATCTATAGGCTTTCTATTTGCTGGAATTCGAAAGAGAGATGTGACATGCTTCATACCGAATGAACGAGCGATAGTGTAGATCATTCAGAAGCAAAAAATCGAAAAAAAAACTTCATAGTGTTAATTATCCGAGTTTCAGAGCGACGGCTGTTCGAATCCCCTCCAAGGAATCACTTTCTGTTGCTGCAGCAGAGATCTCTGTAACTCGTCACCTTCCTTATACGCACTTCTGACCATTGTTCCAATAATTTTTGCTAAACTTTTTGCATTTTAAGCGATCTCGTTCTACGTTTGGCTGATTATTGTGTTTAATCATTGTAATAATTTCGCAGTTATTGTTTCAGTGGTTTGTTTACCTGTTTGCTTTTTGCGATAGTATGCAGTAGAATTTTGAAATTACCCAAGACTCTCACTGCATCTACACCTTTACTATATTAATAAACGACACTGTACTGTGCAAAACCAAGCCGAAAACCTCCACTAAAAAGATTCTATTATTTCTGATCACTTAATAAATCACAAGAAAAATTCTTAGAACTGATAGATGTGAAATGGATATGGGTACATGTTTTTCACAACTCAGCTACACAAGAAGTCAGGTAAAGGAAAGCCTCGAGATAAAACAAGTGTGGAGGAACGTTCACTATGAAGCTAGAGGTGGGGAGTGGTGGAAAAAGAAAAGAAAGCAAGAAAACCACCGATTACCCCGAATAAGGACCTCCTCTATTTCAGCCGCATTCCACCTTGGGATAGAGAAGGGCGTGTTGGACGAGTTTCACGAACCTAACTCTAGTTGCTCCAGTGCCAATGACATTGGCCGCAATGCAACCGCTGCCAAATGCGCCCGCGCTTTTCAAGCAGCGCCACGTGGCAACCGACAGCGGAAGGGTGGGGCTTGCGGACGAAGGTGTGGGTTGCGGGTCGAGCTTCTTGCGCCTTTGTCGCGCACTTTCAAGCCGCAAAAGGGCGCGACATCAACGCTTGTCCGCCTGTCTACTACCTCGGGATGGAACAGGTGAGCGTGCCTAATCCCGGGGCATGCCTTTAACATACCCCAGGATCGAGTTGGTGAGGTAAGATAATGCGCCCGATAATGAAATTGGGAGTGCGAAGGAGAGCTGAAGTTATGACAAAAGGAAGAGAAACGTTGAGAACACAGAAACAGATACATCTTCATTCGACAAGGTGGAGGAGAATAAGCTGTAGACAGCGAGCTGAGGGATAATGTACGCCGAGAAGTAAGAGAAATTCTATGAACGAGAGAGTAGGGAGATCAGGGAGAAGACGTACATGGGATACTGTCATGCTACTACGGTTGGCGGACGGACAAGGAGCAGCGCGAGTCGACCAGCGTCCTACGCTCAATAACGTGGTTTCTAGGGCATCTCAGCTACGATGGCACCTCGAATCTTATCGTTCACGGCTTCTGATCATATCAACTTATTCGCAATATTTCGCTCGTCCCAACCTGGACTTGTGCTTTTAAAGAACAAAACACGGAGTCAACTAGAGAGAAGCAACTGCAATGAAAACATTTGTGGTCTGCATTTCCGAATCCAGTGACTACTTTAGGAATCCAAAGATTACTTTTACTGTCTTATGAGGCCAGCTAATGTGGGCAAAAGTTGCACCTGAATATTGGGCAATTTTTCTGATTTTAAGCACTAATGGTGCTCTCCCTTCAAATTACTCCAGTCGCATTTCTGCTATCGTGATAGGTACATAGAGTGTAGTTTTGCAGCACATTGAGTATGTTGGCAAGAAACTTGTGTCGAAGGCCCTCGATAGATCACCCTTTAAGACACTATCTTACAATCGCGTATTCATAGGTTAAGGCCGATGTCATAGTTTGCGAATTGAGCGTTGCGCCAGCGAGTCGAACTAGGTACCAGCGACTCAATAGTGGCGGACCCAACGTTTAAAGGAAGCCCGCCACTTTCAAACAGTGTCCACTGCAAAGTCCCCGCCACTTTCAAACAGCGTCCACTGTCACGTGACACTGTTTGAAAGTGGCGGGCTTCCTTTAAACGTTGGGTCCCGCCACTATTGAGTCGCTGGTACCTAGTTCGACTCGCTGGTACATCGTTCGACTCGCTGGCGCAAAGTTCGATTCGCTGGTGCAACGTTCGATTCGCTGGCGCAACGCTCGGATCGAGCGATTCGCTAGCGAATCGCTCGATTCGCAAACTATGACATCGGCCTAAACGTGGCCATTGACATGAATATGAACGGAATATATTAAAAAGATGATTGAAACCGTGGCGCGGCGTTATGCAAGATGTCTGCTTTAGGGAAGTGGAAGTGATTAAAACATTGGCGACAATATCGCCCGATGCCTAAAACCCAATTCCTTTGCGCAGATTCTAAATTTTTCAGTGGTACTATATTAACCCGGAATGCAATGTAGAACTTCTATAATGACCATGTTCTTTGAACACCTTGCACAATTGGTGCTTTACAGAAAGGAAGCCTGAAGGGGCTTCTTCAAGGTTAGGCTTATTCTTTTTTGATGTATCAAGCTGTCTTTTTGTTTGTAATCAGCTAGGGCCGTGATACAACTTCTGGCAAAAAAGATTTGTCTCCTTTGACCTCTAAACTTCGTGGATCTAAAGAAAACAGGGATTTCCTGAGGAGTTCCGATTAGTTCCTCCTGGGCTGGTCAGAGAGGCTTCCGTTTGGTTTGCATCCACTAAGCCTTGGTTTAGGACGAATGGAGTTTCAATTGATTCCGCCTTGAGTTCTCATTGCTTTGGTATGTACACCGTTCAGAAGCGTTTCCGGATTAGGAGGTAATCATTGGGGACATCGAAAAATCGCTCAGTCGTAAGTGTGTCAGAGGCAATGATTAGAATGGGTCCTGCAGGGGTTTCTAGTAGACGTGGGGGTGCTCAATAGTGCGCAAATGGCGAAAAAACAGAAAAATCCTTCCTAGACAAGAAAGAAAAAAATCGCTATAAACGGAATAATTAAAAGGATCGATAACTAACTAATAAGAATAATCAAAACGGGATCCCTTGTGCGGCCATTTATGGCAACCGCTTCCTTCGACATCGACGTCATCAACATTGAAATGAGTGCAATTACCAGAAGATTGATGTGGTTCAATCCAAACTGACCACGATGTAGCTCGTTGCGGGAATCTCTATCAGAACGTCGTGTAACCCTTAATAGGTACTACTTCGCGACATTCTATAGTATAAACGAGTCACAATTCCAGAATCGACTTATTCTATTTGATGATCAAGGCATACCTCTCTGGGCATAAATCTCTAAAGGATAGAAGTACGAAGCTTTTGCTCTCGATTCTTTCTTTCTTGCAATCCGCCACGCATTCTTCATCCATTAAAAATTTGGATCGACCAATTACAGTAAGCATTCATGTCTACCCAGATATCTTTGCAGTCTCTCGAAATGCTCGCTATTGCCTACGTTCGTTACAACACTCAGAAATTTTACAAGAATGCTAGGTTTTGAACAAAACTTCCGCCTCGAACGGGATTTGAACCCGCTTCTCTCGCTTGCCTCGTGAGGGCCCTGGCAGCTTAACTTGTAGCGCACTGTCTCGGTAAGCGAGAAGTGCGGGTTCGAGTCCCGTCTGAAAGTTTTGTTCACAACCCAGCATTCTTGTGAAACATTCGCAAGGGGAACTGTGGCCAAAAACAGCAGTCCGCCTTTCGAATGTTGTCAGCAAACAGCTACCAATCAAAAACATACAGAAGGTTAGCTAAAGGTGACTGTATCCAATGATTTTTGCCAAGGAATGCTATAATTTCGATGTTTTTTGGCGTTTTTGCTGGGGTGATACGTGGAAGATGCGAAGATGACGTGCAACAGTGATTCAAAGAATGCAATTGTCAAACAGACACATTTTCACGAATGCCGACCGTTTTTTGTATGGTTCGGCAAGCGCTACAAAGGATGGTAACCGACAAACATGAACAAGCCTTGCTGCTACTTCTCCTGAACTACGGGTTTGTGTTTCAAACTGCAAAGAATCGGGATGCTATTGTGATGATGCTACTCTCTCAAAATTCGTGACAGCCTGCATTTTTATACTTGCAGCAGCTGTTTCTTTCGCGCAGCAGATTCTTGCGATGCCAACACTTGCAGCATCTTAGCACCGCAGTCGTATATTTAAAGCTACGTTGTTGGGATTAGGTGCTAGTAAGTGATCCTTCCTAGATTGAGAAGAAACTGGTTCCTAAGCGCATCAGCGCACCATCACGACTAAAAGTGCGAGACAACGCCGCTGAGGCCTGCCTGGCCTGTGATGGAATATTTACCAATCGCGGCATACTTGGTGTTTGCTCCTGCGTGCCTGGCGTACGTCATACATCTCTGATGTCATCTCTCGCGTTTTCCCTCTCTTCGCAACGCTGTGTCTTTCCGTCATGTCACGGCCGACCTTACGAGGGAAATTTCAGCGTTTTCTGTAGTTTTCTATGGTTTAGTATTTCGCTTTTCTACACGAGTGTCGTTCTTCATCTCACAGCCTGCCTAAGTTTCTAACAAAATAACGCACCAGTTCGTCCCGATCCGTGCTTTTAAGTGAGAAATGGCAGTAAATGTTCGCACGAAAAAATTACCATGTGGTTTTTAGCTGCAGAATTGGCAGTAAAGTCGGCCGCGACGAAAAAATTACAGGTCAGCAGGATTCAGATGGTGTGTCATTGAGAAAAGGTCCTGGTTTGCGGATATTTAACAATCCTGACGAAGGCGGCGGTACTATTAACGGTCGAAGAAATTTTGGAATCATGGCTAGATTCTTCACATAATAGTAACAGTCAACGAGTAAATCTTCTATTATGTGAACCACTAACTTGATGGTCTCAGGATCTCTGTCAGCCGTGAAGTTCGGCAATTCATCGTGTGTAGTGCCGTCTGGAAGCTCTCACACATACACACTATTTATTTATTTAATTACTGGATGCTCCGTATACAACAGAGTACACCTTATACAAAACAAAGCTTGGTCGACCTTGACGCAAATGAAAAAAACAACAGCTAAACTGACGGAAAAAAATAAAGCCTATCTGCTTAAGCAGATTATTATTAGACTATACACGATAGGTCTTCCTCGTAAGATTCTGAAGTAGCGCGGGATGGACTAGGTAAACACGCGACTCTTGACACTGTGGATACACAACCGTACACAGAATCCGAAAATGATATTTTCGGATGTAGGTAAGCCCCTAACACT